CATACAGCTGGGAAAACAAGCAGTGAGGCATACTTCAGAATGCCCACGATGATCAGCATGCAGCAAATCATGATTTCGGTGGGCATGGTGTTGGGTGGTGGGTTTGTGTGTGTGCTTGGTGGTTGAAATGTGTTGTGGTGTGATGATGGGGCGAAGCTGCTTCTACCGGTGGTGAAGTCCTGTTGCAGGTCGTGCTGTGGGTGCTGCTGGTGGTGATGATAATGATGGTGATGATGCTGACAATCTTTGCAATGATGACGGCAGTGAGGATCCGACGCTGCGCGATGGCAGCATGAGCCTCGTACGATTCAGCGGTGGATGTCACAGATCAAGCCCTGAAGCCTTCGATTTCTGGGCTTGCGGCAACAAACATCTTGGGGTCAGCCATTGGGCTTCCGAACCACCCGGCCTTCTTCGACCCAAACCCAGAAAGCAATCCGGTTCGGAACTTGATGGCACATTCAGGAGAGACTAGGTCCTAGGTTGGAGGATAAGGGCTTGAAGCTCAAGCCCTGCAGCATGAACTCTCGGACGGCGGTTGCTGAAACCTTGCACCCTTGGCACCTCGTTTCGTTCTCGTTCGCCGCACGTTTGGGTCCCTCCATTCCTGACTGTCGGGAACTTGGATGGAACCTCGTCCAAGTGAGGTCCCATGGACTCGGCACTTGAGGTGAGAACTGCGTACAGTAATTTCTGTGTGATGCCTGTCAGAACAGCCAGAGCAGCTAACGCTAGAGGACACTGAGGTCAGACGAGTGTTATCCAGCCATGCAATGCGTAGAACTTGCATAGATCAATCAGATTCCAGCCACAAGCCAGTGGCAACAGACATGGCCGCTCAGCCGTTTCAACTGGACTATCGTACTCCGCCCTAGAAGGACCTTGCTGGCGACTGTAATGATCTACGAAAAGGTCCTGTACCGAAGGCTACTGCTACAACGAGGAGGATACAGTAGCAGGTCCCACACCGTCCAGCATATTGCACCACGCAATATGGTGAAGCTGTGTGCCTGTCAGACGGCTTAAACACCTGCCGCGCTGAACATGCAGCCTCAATTAACACCCCAAGCAACTCCAACTCGAGACCGGTGTCCTTGTTGTACAGCTCCTCGTTATGGATCAGTGCCTCGGAGTCCATCCTGGGAGGATATCAGGGTCCTTTGGATAGCTGAGTGGCTGATTTGGGCACGGGGAATGCCTAATCTAGGGGCCTTAACAATAATTCTTAGGGTTTTGGGGCCTATTCCACTATAATCATAATAAGGAACCTCCAAAATAGTGTAGGTAATTATTACAAGGCCGCTATATTAAACCCTAACTCCTAAATTACTAAAGCTTATTCCCTAAACCCCAATCCTTCAGCCCTAAACCCTAAATAAAGGTGGAGTTGGCCGGCGACGACGCAGGCTTGCTGGCACGGATCTTTGGCCCTTAAGATGATCTTGGAGCACCGATCCCACGGCGGAGTCAAACACCATGTGGTCTACACCATGATCAGTATACCCTGAAAGGACGGGTATATATATATATATATATATAGTCATTATAGATATTACAGATACAGACACAGAGATATATATAGATGTAGATCTATAATATATATATATATATATATATATATATATATAGAGATAGATAGATAGATAGATAGATAGATAGATAGATATATAGATATGTGTGTATATGTATGATATATCTAGATAGCCTCAGCCATGATCCACGAAACCTCAATGATATCTAGATAGCCTCAGCCATGATCCACGAAACCTCAATGTCAACTGAAAGCCTTGATCGTGTCGGAGCGACAAACTCTCCTCTAAGGAACGGACGCCATGGCCGCAGCATCTCGGACAACATAGGTCAGCTGCTGATCCCTTGGGATGCGGCTCAGGGTCTGCAGTTACTAGTAACATTTTAAGCTGGCAGCTTTTCCATATTTGGGAGTTTCCGAACATAGGGGACCCTGATATGGGACCCAATTACCCATAAACAGGAATGCACCAAAATTCCCATAGTTTAGGGTCCTTAAGGTATTGCAGGGTTTCTATCATCAACCTAGGGACTGCTTGTCAAGTTCGCTTAGCTTCTGGGCTCCCATCTCGATAGGACGGGAAGCCTCAAGGCGGCAGATCCTTGGTACAGATACCTTAAAAATAGATATATATATATATATATATAGATAAACAGATAAATAGATATGTAGGTATATAGGTATATCGATATATGGATAACTCAATCTGTTGCCTTCTGGGCCGAGCTGCTTGTCGTACTGGAAGTGCATCACCTTGTTGTGAAACTGGATGACTGTCGGCCTTCAACAGTCAGTCTGTCACATCATCGGCCACAAGAGAAGATATGGCCAGGGTCTTCGCTGCTGAGTCCATGCGGCATACTTTTCGCTTGTCTGGGCAAGCTACTGTACCACACTCTATGAGGGCTTATACACCCCGTTCAGTACCTAACGTAGGTCCACGACGCAGGTTTTCCAGAGTCCTCACATGCAGCAATACAGACTGCGACTTCAAAAGGGGCTTGTCGCCAGACCCTCCGGGTTATTGGGGCTCTCAAGCCGACAGCCCCTACACACGTCGGGGCCAGGTCTTTCGTGCGCGATCCAGCGCGTTTGCCGAGCTTTTCCAGGGGTGGCGGGATTGAGGGTCTTCAGGTTTAGGGCCACTGAATCTGCAGCCATCAACCCATCAAAGCCTCTTGTTTGCAGGCACTATCGCCACTCAGGGCTGGCTCAGGGAGGCCTGTGGGCGACGCTGAGGTATCCAAGTCGCCGCTCGCGGCAAGCCTTGTAGACCTCACGCAGTTGTGACAAGCGATCCCCTTTATGGGTCAGCGGCTCTGGGGATACGGGTTCATCGGTGATGAATGCTAATTCGGTGAGCATGTCCTACCGGGTTGCAAGATGTTGCAAGGCATTGCTGCAAGCTGCAGTGACTGTCGCGAGCCCGAAGCCGTTTGTATCTGCAAAACAGATTTGAAGCTGGGGGTGCTTAACAGCGCGACGAAGGATCGGACATACCAGGAAGTCCTTTCAGTTGGTCGTTGAGGCTTCGGGCATTCAGCGGTCAGCCGTTAGCAGGGATGCTTCCGATCCCTTCCCGAGGATACTCTTCCCCAGGGTGCGACTGGTACTTTCAGTTCACGAAGATGGCGTATTAAAAGGCGAGGCTTGAAGCCTGCTAACCTTTCTGCCCTGCCATTTACACCCTTTGTGAACTTCTCTGGTCTGCTACTCCGAAAAACCCGCACTGCGCATGAGGGCCTTCATCTCGGAGTTTGTATCCTGGCAGGAGACGAGACGTGTTTTTGAGCTTTGCGTCTGGCCATACCGTTTGGTGTAAGTAGTTATGTCTTTTTTCTGTGGTTCAGGTGGTTGGGCCTACTTCTTGGGCTTTGGCAGTCATTTTGGGGCTTGTGCTTTGGGCTCTAGGATGTTTGCGCAGGGCTATTGCGGGATGGAAGACTCTTATGGCAATTGAGTGCCCACCACAGCACAACCGCCGAAACAGCTACCTACAGTGCCTGCAGGATCCTGCGAAGCAAAGCACGGAGAAGCTGTTTCCTAAAACCTTGAACTACAAACCCCAAAACCCCTTTAGCAACCTACAGTCACATTTAAATTTGCACCTTCTCCTGAAGCCCGATTTCAATCCACACAAGGCCGCAGGTGAAGACCCGAAGGTGCCGGTTCGTACACCGAGTAAGAGGGTGACGACATAAGGCTTCCCGGGCTGAATCGGCAAGGTTGCAGACATGCAAATGTCTTATGTATATGATACGATGTGTTTCTAGAACAGTAAAGTAGTCAATTAATCAACTGACGAAATGTAGTATATACGTATGTGTGTGTATACACCCATGTGATAGCTGACTTGATAACTTCTTCTGCTTGCCGGAAAAAACCCTGAGCTCTCAGGCTCGCACCATAGAGGCCGAGGATTCGTCGAGCACGGCCTCAGAGGTCTTCTCCGGGATTGGTGTTTTTTTTTTGGGGGGGGGGGAGGGGGGGGGGGGTTAATATATGTTAATATCAATAGCCATTCTAGGACCGTCAGGTTTAGGATCTAGGCTCGTTTTTTGGGTGGAGTAAGATCAATAATCATAATTGGTTTAATTATGATTCATCATAACATAACGGCATCGGGTATGATATCACGTGACATAATATAATTCGACATCGCATGGTATGGCACATAATAAGTTAATATAACATGACAAAAAGGAAATACAATACCTTATAGTTTGAGATCACCCGGCATATCAAATGAAGATGCATCAAGTCCATATCCTTTGTGTATACAGTCTACTGAGCAACTCAAGCATAACATAATGCAAGATAGTGGAATAGAACAGTACAAAGTATAGTGTACAGTGTAGCATACATAAGCTACAGGCTTGTAGGCTTTTTTGAGCTTCTAGGGCTAGGGTTCATGCAAGCGGTTCGGATACGGGGCTCGGGAGTTTATCGAAGCAAGGGCTCACGATTCAAGCTAGTTGGGTTTAGGGTTTAGGGTTGCCCTTCTATCTTCTACTGCATCTCAACTGTTGGGTTGAAAGCGGGCTGGACATGTATTCGAGCCTGACGGCCCTGAGCCCCGGACCCAAACCGTTGCTATTGTCGAAACTGTCGTGATTATCGCTGTGGCTTCCCTAAATCCTAAACCCCGAACCCCCTGGCAGGCCAGGAGGCAAAGAAGCCGGAGGACTCCTTCTTGTACTCTTGGAACCTTGGGTTGAGAAACCGAGTGAATTCACAGAGTATGGTGTAGGTTTATAGTGTTCAGGGAGTCGATAGATTGTTTTTGCGTCATGTCTAATGGGAAGTAAACAAAGAGGAAACACAGAGTCTTGGCGGAGTAATGGGGTGACCGTATGGGCCTGTGGGTGTCTGCGCTCCGCTGTGTCCCCCTTCTGGTCCCGGGCCTTTCGAGTCCCAAAGGCCAACAAAAGCCGAAGCCCTTTCAGACCGACACCCTAAGGTTTAGAGTTTAGGGTTTAGGGTTTAGGGTAAGCTCATTCACGTTCCAGCCGGGGTGCCACTCTGCATGCCAGAAGAGCCTTCGCGTGAGCTTCTTGGTTCGAGTAGTGAACCCGGCTGCGGGTAAGGATTCACAGGCGGACGGAGACTGCAAAAGCACCAACCGCGAGCACTCTGACCTGAGGGCTACCTGCTGAATACTCTCAAGAAGCTGCAACCACCCTCACAACCCTCCACCCTCAATGTTTCAGAATCCTTGCAAACACAAGCTTCCGAGCCTGCAGAATTGCAGTCGCTGCTGCTCCCCCAGCGACAGGACATCGTCCCACCAAATGCCAGGGGCGTCCAGTTCATCCCTGCCATGCTGCAAGCTCAGGATTTTCGGGCTAGAATTGACGGTTGAAGGAGCTGTTGCAAACAGGTTCCTAGAATGCAGATAGTTGTGGCTTAGGCATGGGGCCGTGAAGATAAAGGCAGACTGCCGGGTCTAAGGTTCTAGGAACTGAAACATGAAAGTGTAAGTCTGGGGTCGATGCAGGCTGAAGGGAGCTTCGGTCATCCTGCTACTACTGCGCTGTACGACTGCGTGGCACGAGCCTTATTGACCTCGGTGAAAACCAAGCGCCCCGATTTCAGACTACGGTACTCGTATCAAGACACAACCAGGACATCATTTGAGGATTGTTGTGAAGATGTAGTCGTATAAACCAGTGAGGCTCCTGCGTTCAATCTGCAATTCCAGGGCCTCCTTCCCATACAAAAACGCCAAAGCACGCTTCGCGGAGTCAGAACTAATTCTGATATGTAATGCTTGTACCGCCACGTCGGAACGAAAACACTCCGACCTCCTCGCTTCCCAAACGTCCTCGAGCCCACTCTCCATGAAAAGCCTCAGCAGAACATGGTGCCCACAGTTTCAGGTGATCCCCTTCCCAGCTCTTCCTCGCCGGAAATGGGGGCACATCTGCTGTGGAGGTCTGGGACTTGCCTGGTCTCGGAGCCTCGTCGCTCTACTTCTGTCCCCAGTACTTCGACTTACGCCGGCTCCCACTACTGCTCGTGCTGCTGCTACTTGCTACGACTGCACAACTTCGTTCGTGCAACAACACCTGTGTGTGAAGCTCACAACTCCCAGGTTCTGCAACCTCTGCACCCTGATATCTTATCGCAAAAGGGCTTTTCCATCTTCTCGTCGGACAGATCGGTGAGCAGGGACGTGTCCCAAATAGGGTAGGCCACCTGTCCCGTGCTGGAACACGATAACAAGATACTTCGGTCAGGTGTTAAACGGTGTTGATTGACCTCGTTGTAAAGAAGTAGTAGTAAGTTCGTAGCAGCCGCATTAGTAAAGCAGCAGTCGTAGTCGTCGTCGAAGTAGAAGTAGAAACCTTAGCCCACCATCCTCAACTTGGAAGGTTTCTCCAAAGTCCATGGCATTCGATGCAACTTCGACCTTCAACTTTAGACTTCGGGATCCTCGGGGCTTTAGGGTTTGTGGTTGGTCTAGTCTTAGAAAACCCCTACAGTATATGTGTATATATATATATACATACATATACATATACATATATATATATATATATAGAGACTGTTACGTGACCCCTGGGCACCTGCTCACGGAGCGTCCCCTGGAAGAGGTATGGACGCTGGGCCAGAAAAAATACCTCGGTAGGCCCAACTCATGCTGCACCATTCGGAGCTTCCGGAGACAAACCATGTAAAGGGTTTGGGGCGCAGGTTCAAGGACTTGTGACTTGTGGTTCGCAGTCGAGGTAATGGGGAAAATCGGGATTTAGCTCTCCACGCAAACGTCGTGGCTTGTCGGTATCCCATTGTGCCGTTTGCCAGAACCTTCGTTTGCAGGCGGTAACTGATGCCTCCAACTGCTACAATGCCATTGATCCCGTCTGGGAAGATCAGAAAGCTGGGCCTGAAACATCAGACAGAGTCTAACCCCGACTCGTGAGAGTACACACATCTCCGTATTGTTTCAAACGGTGTTGCTTACATGCTTCTTCCTCGGCCGGGAATAGACTTCAAGCGCCTGGGCCGAGCTGCAGAGAAAGGTCCGGGACGACTAAACGATGCATCATCGCCTGAGGGCAGTGAGTCAATGAGATGCTCCTTGATTCGGTCGGAACCCGTCTCGTGCTCGAGCAACGAGCATTCGGGATGATTCTTAAAACTCGGTTCGTGCTGCAAGCACAAGTGTAGGTTGACCGAAAAAGATTATCGCAGGTTGTTCGGTAGTTCGTGGTAACTATCCACGATAGCAGGCGCAAATTCAAAGCTTGCAAGTCGGATACAGGTTTTGGAGGACATATTCTGTGCCCGTCATTGACTCGACGGTGTTCGAAGCTGGAACTTCACGGTGATCGCCTCTACCGATTGTGCGGAGCTTGCGTCTTAGCCGATTTGTTTCCGAACAAACCAGACTCAGGAGTGGTTCAACCAGATGGAAAGCAGTAATCGACTCAAGGCTGGTGAGCGCGAAGGGGGGGGGGGGACCTAGTTGCTTTAACTATCTTTTTTGGTGGGATTTTTGTGTTTCGCCGACCGCAGCAGCTTCCCTCTTGACATCAAACGTACATGTTCACCATCCCATCTTCTAGCTCCCAGATCCACAGAATGGGTCTTCCCGTCCATGGATGTACGCGGGCACGCAGCGGTTTCCGATGCAACTACTACTTAGGCAAATCTGACAAAGTTCGGGAACTCGCCTCCTAAAACGGTGAACCGAGCCGAAGTTGAACCCTTCTACGCTCCAACTCCCGCTAAACGCGAAACTCGCTCAAGAGTGCCTTTGTCTGCTGGGCTTCGGAACAGCGGCCAAAGCTGCCCCAGCACCCTGCGAGCATCAACTAATGCGAAACCCGACATCATTGCTGCCCGTAGGACTATTACTGCGACTGTCGTCGTTAGCTCTCTGTTGTTCCCCCTCCTTGCGACATGGCTAGACCCTTCATGATTGCTACGATGATTCTGCTACTGCTGTTTAGACTGAAGACCATCCCTCTTCCTGTCTCTACCATCGTCACAGCAGCTCCTTCGGCGCTGAAGGAGATTTTCTCGGACTCGAGAAGCACAGTTTTAATTTCCGCTGGGTCCAGGCACGACGCAGGCGTATGCTACATGACATCAAGCGCCGTGCTACTCTTCAAACCCTGAGAGGGAAGACCCTCAGTCCATACACGCAGAACCGTGAAATACCGTGAACCATGATTGCGGGGCCGGTTCAGGGATAAGTCTAAGTTCAGGGTTTGTGGCTCGCAGGTCTCGGGTGCAGTTCAGGGCTTACGAGGCACAAACTTGCGGGGATAAGTAGAGGGTTCGAGGGTTCTTCCGGGATTCTACGGGTCTAGCAGACCCAAGGCACCTGAGCAGCGAGGACTTGCCGATGCCACTGGGTCCCATGATCAAGCAACTCCTTGGGACCGAAGACACAGTGGAGTGGCATGTTGAGTAGCCAGGCATCGCGGCTACATTGGCAGTTATTCCGTTTGTGCTAGAAGTGGGAAGTACGGAGCGGATGTGCTTTGGAGCTTCGCTGGACGCTGTGAAGCACTCCGCTTGTCCACTGACGCACCTTGCTTCCTTCGCGCTTCGCCTGAAGCTGTACACCTTGCCCGTGATGGCATGACGCATTGTGCATGACGCTCCGACTCACCCTGCTTTGCCTGAGACTCTTACGCAAAATCGCTTCTTGAGAACCCACACATGCCAAACCGAACCCACATTTGCTTCCAAAGTTTGACAACTCAGCTCTCGCCCGAATCTCGGCTTCAAGTTTGGCAGACTGGTTTACTGTGGCTCTTTCAAGTTCGACCTGCTAAGGTTTGGCCCGGGTCTGGATCTCGAGTTAGGCATATACAGACGCTCTCGGCAAAACTCTGGCCCGAATCTAGGTTTCGAGTTGTCTTATGCGACGAGCCGAAACACGTACAGCGTGCAAAACAGATTCGGGCCGAAGGTGTGCGGACAGCCGCAGAGTCCCAGACTTGAACCCCCAACTCGCCTAGAGGCGGCCCAATGGTCCAACATAGCCGAACATGCTGCGACAAAAAATGCTCAAGCGTTTCAAGGCTGCAAAAGACGACAATGCCTGAAGCCCTGCGGTCCTCAAGCATGCTAGGCCATGACTTCCAAGACCCGATGCCCTTCTTAAATCGATACTTTCAAGGGCGAAACCATACATTCAGCAAGAACCAAAGTTGGTGATGTCGCCTAGGTTTAGGTCGACTATAAGCCGCAATGCATCGACTTTCAATCCCCGAGGGCAGCCACGAGACTCTCCGGGATCCATCCGCAAGCTGATGTCCCGCATCAAGCACCTTTCTTCGTTTGGGCTTGAGGGATTAGGGGTCTGGTGCTTTGCGAGGCTTAGTGTTTGAGGCTTAGAGTCTGAGGGGTTTTTGGTTTAGGTTCCAGGGTCCAGGGTTTCAGGATTGGGGCTTAGAGAGTTATCGGCCCAAAGCCGGGTTCAGGTCGCGGGGTCTTGGGGCCTCGACTACCCTCCAAGGCTGTAAGCGCCTCCGCTGGGAATATTTAGGTGCACGGAGCAGTTGCCAACCAATCATGTCCTACATAGAATCGATAACATCCATCAACACAGCCATGTAATGCCTCCCGACTTCGTCTCTAAAAAAACGATTTCCCAAGTCCGTGCCCGAAGCTGGAATCTCCGTTGTGGACAGGAGCCTGAAACTCTCAATCCCAAACCCGAGCTCAAGCGGACAAGAACTAAGTGCAGGAGCTGCCTTGAGCTTGGTTGAGGGTTTTTTGGTCTTACATGGACTTTCAAGGGCCGAGAGGAGAGTTAGGGCAGTTAGGGCTGAGGTCTTGGGGGTTTCTGGAATTTATGGCAACTTGGGCGCAGGTCGCAGTATTCCAAATTTTGGGCTCCTACGGTCTCGGAAAGGAGTGGGCCTCATGCCATCGGGAGTGTAGATGTCCACGTGCCTTGGAGACAGATCTCGGGTTTAAAAAACAACTTTTGTCTGGAGCTTTGGAGATTTGTGCTGTCCGATGTACCTGCGGGTGCTAGAGTCTAGAGGCATGGACCTGAGTAAAGGAAGAAAATGCTGCCGTGCTTCTGGAAAAGACAGTGTAGGTGTGGGGTTTGCGGTGTGGCTTGTATCCCAGCTATAATTCGAGTGGTCATTAATTAACACATCTTTATGACATACCTGGCAGTGCCACGAAGTCGTTTCATGTCCTTTCCTACACCAGCTTGTTGAGAGTTCTTGAACGCGCGGCACCCAGCAACCCGAGCATCGACATCCACCCTACTCGGTTGAAAGCTGCAACTGCACGTCTGCACTGACATCAACCCTACGACCTAATACTGCAAGTTGCTCGAAGCCCACGTGATCGGCGTGTGTAAGCGGCACGACAGCGCCACAGTGCAGCTGCTGCACACGGTAGTAGGACAAGCAGCAGAGAACCTGGCAAAGGGCTCGTGGAGTGGGTAAGGGTCAGCTGGTTTTTAACAGCCAGTTCTGCCTTCATATCGACATGTCGTATTGCTCTCTACTTGTACTTTGCAAGCATGCCTAGTGATCTGATTTCTTCGCCTCCTCCTCGTCGATGAGGAACCCGTCTGCCCGACTCAAAGCACCCTGCTCCTGCCAGAGGTGGCTTCGCAGCACGATCTTTTGATAAGTGTCGCCTGGAAAACCGAAACGCCTGGGTTTAGGCTCGGTTGCCGTCTTGGGGAAGTTGGGCCTCAGTCCTGTACTCTTGTGACTCTGAAGAGAATCTCGCTGGTTTAGATGCCCAGGCAACCAGGAAAGAAGAGAGAGAAAGAGAGAGAGAGAGAGAGAGAGAGGGAGAGAGAGAGAGAGAGAGAGGGAGAGAGAGAGAGAGAGAGAAAGAGAGAGAGAGGGAGGGAGGGAGGCGGGGACAGGGAGCAAATGCGCAAATGCCTGGTGCTTTGTCTGTCCCAGGCATCCGCGACAAAATGCAATTCTGTTATCAGCCCTCGGCTGTCGAACTATCTTGGTTGCCAGCAGCATGACTTGTATAGCCGAGACCCGGCGCGCGGCCATATGAGCCTAAACGTACCTAAACCACTCACATCTCCTTGCGATGACTCTCGAAGACGATGAAGGCATCCATGACCTGCGACACTACAACGCAGGTGCCGGTTAATTACGACACGATACGATAAGCCCTGCAAAGAGCGAGGCAAGTGCTGGAAGCGGGATAGCCATGGAAAGCCAGGCACCATGGTACTGCATCCTCAAACTCCAGGAACAGAAATCTTCCTCGAATCCCAGGAATGCACAACATCTAATCCACGCGGATCGAGACCCAGCTCCTTGAAGCCGTAAAGACCCTTTCTTTCTATACGGTGTCATACGTTATAAATTATAACCATTGCAGTGCAGTGATGTGCTATACTACACACTAAACTAAAGTATATTATACGAACTCAATACCATGCTATCCTGAACCGTTCTTTATATGCTATGTTCGACTGTTCAAGCACAGGGCAGGACAGCCAAGTCACCTCTAAGAGCTGTACCACCCGCTGAAGCATGGCCTGAGCCTGGCAATCACTGGTTTTGCAGTAAAGAAGCATTCATCATAGCAATACTAATGGTGGCAAGAATAATTAGTAGTAGTGGTAGTAGTAGTAGTAGTAGTAGTGGTGGTGGTAGTAGTAGTAGTAGTAGTAGTAGTAGTAGTAGTAGGAGTAGGAGTAGGAGGAGGAGGAGGAGGAGGAGTAGTAGGAGTAGGAGTAGGAGTAGGAGTAGGAGTAGGAGTAGTAGTAGGAGTAGTAGTAGTAGTAGTAGTAGTAGCAGCAGCGGCAGCAATAATAACAAAAAAACAGACAATCATAATCATAATCAGAATAATGACAGAGCAAGGCTCTAGTGTCCGAAGCTTTAAGCGGGTCTGCTGACTGCTGTAGCTGGTCTCTTCTGAACCACCCGGAAACCTGGACTAGGCCCGGAATCTAGGGACTTTCATCGCTTTGCCCCCTAAGGGTTTTTCCGGCTGCAATTAGACTCTAGGACCTGTCGGGATATGGCGGAGTTCGCAGGGGTTTGGGAGGGCAGGGAGGAGTTCAGGGAGGGTTTAGGACAACACCCCTCGGCTTCGGGCCATGCAGCTGCGCAGTTTTCGGGCTTTAGCCCCAGAATCCGAACTGAACGCACTTTTGGCCTGCTCGCAGGGCATGTTTTTCAGAACTTCTCTGGGAACACCATGTGTCACCACAGAGCTGGCATAGCAAAATCTGCGAAATCCCGTCCCGAGCTGCCCTCAAAGCCTCAAAGCAAGTTCCCAGGGCAGGGCATGGAGTAAAATTTCAGATCCTAGACTCCTAGACACTGCAGTAGGATGTAGTATATAGGCTACAGTGAAACACTTTAACAGACCAACTGAGTTCACAGAAGATTCTCTAAGTCTCAACCGCTTGTGACTGGCCTTTGCCAGGTCAACGACGCTCTTCGCCATCTCCAAGCAGCAGCGGATGATTCGCAGAAAAGTGAGGTTGAGCACCTGAGAAAGCTGCCAGGAATTCAATGCCCTGCTTGACAGCCTCTACGAACCCTGAAGCAGGTCTGTTCACACAGCATCCCTCCTGGTGTCGAGCCAAAAGAGAGTATAGGTTTCGAGGTCGATGGCTGCAGTTGCACCGGTTAACCCCCAATGCTTACCTTTTGTTACAAAGGAATGGAGGAATGGGGAACAATTACAACTATTATTACTACCATTCTTCCATTCCCTAGCAACCAAAGGTACGAATTCTCCAACACCCTGAACAGGCAGGACACAACCCACCCCTTCAGTGACGCGGGCCGAGGCCTGGACACCGTTTACCACTAAATCCCTGTAACCTTAAACGCTGATACCATCTGATAGCCAAAACCCTTGACATGCAACCCCTAAACCCCTAATCCTCAACAGGAAACCCCTAAACCCTTAACCCTTAAATGGAACCCCTAAACCATAATCCCTTAACCTGAAACCCTACGAAAACCAAACCTTCCTGTCAGCTGAAGCACATAAAACGTCGTCTCGGAGTCCTGCGTCCAATTGCCTTGTCCAGTCTCTCCAGGGTTTAGGGGCTTTAGGGTTTTATGGGTTTAGGGCTTTAGGGTTTAGGGGTTAAGGGTTCCCATGCTCTGATAAAATACAAACTCATATTTAGAGCGGGTCCCTGTGCATAGTGTATTAATACTGCGGTGTATTACAACTCAATAATTACGGATAGTTTGGTGTATTCATAGTCTTTATTATTCACGTCGATATAATATAAGTTCAATATGGGGGTTTCCAAAAATGGGGGACCCTAATATAGCACCCGAAACAGTAGGATCCTTATTATAAGGACCCCAAAATAAGGACCCCCTAATTTTTGGAAACTCCCATATTGCCAGAAGCCTGGAGCCGCCGATCGACCCTGCAGGAACTTTCAGTAGGCGCTTGAAGCTACTGGGCAATCGGGAGATTTTTCTGATGAGGCCAGGGTTTTCTTTAAGTGCAGTAGTCCCCCCCTTTCTCCGCAGAAGACTTGCTCGCCTTTACTGTACCGCTCAGCAAAAAGCAAAAAACAAAACACCCTCAAACCACAGTTTTCAGTGCAGCACGGAAGGGCTTCTCAAGCCAAACCGGTGGAGGCCAGTGTTTGGAGCTCTTGGGGTTTCAAGGCCTCGAAAGACCCCTTACGCCCCGAGCAGAAACACAAAGTGGTACAATCGAAGGTCTCGATTTTGGGATTCCTAAACTCAAAAAAACCCTAAGCAGGGTGTTCGGGATGCCTTCGTTTCGTGCTAACTTGGAGATTTCCTGTACCAGGGTACCAGTAGTTCGACAAACTTGACTTGTATGCTTCGTTCTAGGATTCTTGATGGGCTTGCTACCAGGTCGAGGAAACGGTAAGTTGGGGCTATGAAGCCAGGCAGAGTCAATGCCCCAAGCTCGGAGACATAAATTCACGCAGCGCGGCCTTTCCGCACGATGAAGGCCGCCATCGTCATCGAGATGGGAGCCAGACCGAAGTAGAAGGCGAGTTGGCTAAGATCCACCAATAGCTTGTACCTGGGTCGATACGGTTTGTGGGCATTCAGCAGTGCACTGTAAGCAACAAGTTCCAGCTTTTGCCAGCCCCAGACCCTGAACCCACAGGCTGTCTGCGTTTTGCCCGAGGCTACAATTGGTAATGATGCCGGTTGAGGCTTGGGCTGTGACAAAAGCTGAACACAGCCGTTTCTTGCCAGCTTTTTGCAACTCAGACGTAGTTAGCTGGACCTGGAAGAGGTTGCGAAACCACACTGCTCTAGGCTGCTTCAACATGCCTCCGACCGCAAAAGCCCAACACAAAGAAACCGGACGTAAGAATATAGGTGCCTTCATGATCTTCAATAGGGTTTCGGGGCCCACTACACTATCGCTAGCAGCGCTAGCATCACAACACCGAAACACTAAAGAATAATGTTACTGCTACTACCCCCCCCCCCCCCCCCCATATTGATCGGCCAGGCACTTTGCAAAGCGGTGGAAGCCATTTCGGACGGCATCCTCAGAGGCATCTCGCTGCCCAGCTTCTCGACAGATTTATGCAAGTCTGACAGTCTGATGCAGGGGCAGGGGCCTCAATCATCAGGACGGGGTGCGTGGTTATGTTGTAGTCCACAGCATCAAAGGAACCACTGCGAACAAAAACATCGGCAGTTAGTTAAGCCCCTCTGCTACCCTAAAGCCCACTATGGCAAACATAGACGGAGTGGGTGGGTTAAGAGTGCCTTGGAGGTCCTCAGACTTCAAGGGGATGTCGTCACAAGCACACAGAGGTAGCAGGTACCTACATGGAGCCTGCAGAACCCCATGTAGCGGCGCTTCATGGGCAGGCTGGGGTTCGGGGAGTTGTGGATTGGTCCCCTCAGCCCTGAAGCCTGAACTTGAAAGCCCCAAGCCTTTAAGGTGCTGAAGCCCGCCAATTTCAGAAATTGCGGTCCTGCTATGACCCACGTGGAACCCGTAAATGAGGGTTGAGACCCTCATCCCCTAAAGCAGTCAGCCTTCCATATACAGCCTGCATGAGCATGCAAAGGCGTAAACCATGCTTGCGATGTATCAGTGACCTCTTGCAACCCATCGAAAATACAGGCCATCTCCCTGCCAGGCTGCGTAGAGATTGTCGATTCTCTCTTTCTCGCTGTCCTCTCCGCCGTAGAAACAAATAGACTCCTCGGCACGGTCGCACCCTTAGACTGCTGGTGGTACTGATGATCATGGAGATGAGGATGGTCACAATGATCTTGCTGTTGATGGTGAATAGTGGGGATGAGTGATGATGCTCGTAGCAGTCACGATGATTGTAGTCCATAAGGTGATTGAGATTGGCGTGACAGTGCTGGTGTGGTGGGCTTAGTGATGCGCTTGGTGTTGGTTATGATGACGAAGACGGTGACAGAAGTGACTGCAGTTTAGGCTGGTGACAGCCATATCGCCCAGTCATTCTGAATAGACGCAGTAGACTTATCGCCGCTCCCGGTGCTTCCATTGATTTCATGAGTTGCCCATGTCGCAGCTAGTGCAGCAAACTGAGGAAGGCAGGGCAAGCACCGGCTCCAAACGCATCCGCATCTTGCTCCCTAAGCCCCGTCGTACGCCCAGCGACCGCAAAAAGCCGGCATTTGGCATGGGCCGAGCGTAACGCCGCCTGAAGATTCGCTTATGGGGCCAGGTATTTAAAAAGGAACCAGGGCTTCGGCTCTGGGGCTTTAGGGGTGACTCTTTGGGGGCAGAGGTTGCGTTTGTCATCGTGGGGTGATGCTGTTTTTGTAGAGTGAGCATGGCGCACTTGCATGCGTTCCCTTTGTGAATGCCTTATCTTACGATTTCGAATCTCCAGCGTGTTCATCAGCAGGTTTCCGGCAACGCTCGAGTGACAGTGGGCGCGGCAAGCCATGCCTTCCCCTCCCAACCTCCCCACAGCAATGCTGTCAATCTGGGTAATTTGGCAAAAATCTGACACAGCATGTGGACTAACGAGCCTCGCTGAACCAACTGGCAAGAACACTTGCCGAGACATACCCTTTCGCAACAGTCAAACCTGCACCCTCCCGAGAGACGTTTAATGCAAACGCGTCACCCAAGTTCTCAAGCCCAAGCCCCTAACTCCACATCCCCGAACCGCAAAGTCCTTGACCAAATGAACAATCACTTCATTTTCCATCTGTTCAGGGTGTGATGTAGGTGATTCTCGTGCTGCCTGGAAGGTTCTACAGATAGAGATTGGTGAAGATCTAGGACAAAGGCTTTCAGGTTGGGGGCTTTGGACTGTGAGGAGAAGGACACTTCAGCTGTGCAGTTGTTCGTGTGCTTGGTCTTGTCTGGGAGCCCTAAATCCCAAACCATGTAAAACCCAACCAAAACCCTACGGAAACCGTAAACTCCCAAACCCGAAGTCGATGGCACCCCCCAAGTGCTTGCCGCCTCGGCTGCCTGAACCTCCGTTTGGGCCTGGCCACAGCTGAAGAGCGCTCTTCGAGCTATTGGTATTGTTTTTAGGGTCTACCATCGGGGCTTCTGCGATCAGGGATGCTACGAGCTCCTGTAAGGGCTAATATATGAATGGAATTACGGTTCCATCAGGCTTCTACATGGTAGGAAGGAGCCTCACCTGCGGTGGGATTTAGTTAAAGAGGTTCAGGGTTTCGTTGATGTCGCGCGGTCTCCGGGCTTCAGAATTACAATAGTTCCTAGTATCACATGGCTTGGAAATTCAAGATCTGCCGCAACTTGCCTTCGTGAGACCATCGGCTGCGCAAAGAGTCGGAACCAAGGACACGATCACTACCGCGAAAGCAATGCCTCGCTTTTTGTTCCGGAAGGGTGGTTGGAACGGTCCGGTATCTTGGGAAATTGCAGTAGAGGAACAGTTCAAGCTATCGGTGTTCATTGTCGTGAATCATTGCAGTAGGCCTTGTAATCCATTCCCCAGTTGACCGGGCGTCTCGCAGAAACTTTGCTTCTGCTCTTGCGCTATAGCGAAAAATATCGGGGCTCGGAAAAATTCAAAAACTAGTAATCGAATAGTATCTCCTCTAGAATACGTTGCTATACCTAAATGGGCCTTAAACAGCGTATACTATAAACATATCCACAGTCTTGTGTTATGAATTTTTATTCACTGAAGCCCTTAAAGCAACAGGACTACAACGCACATAGAAGGTCGAAGGTTGATGGCTGGATTCCGCAGCTCCAACCGCCCAGCCACACCGCAAGACAAACTTACGATTAGGATGATTATAGGTTGGGAGTTTAGGAATTAGGGTTCAGGGTGGTGCTGCATGACGTCGGCTCTAGCACGGATGGTTTCGGTCTTCTTGGCTTTCATCTTTGGGTATGCCCAGCCTTTCTGGTACACCTAAGAACTTGATCCCAAATGCAGGAAGCAGGATGTTCGAGGCTCTTTGACAAGTTCTGAACTCCTAGATACGCCCAGCCAGATGCCCTTCACCCTGGAGATCCCTGGATCGAAACTCCAAAACCCTGGCCCAAAAATTCCCCGAACCTGGGAGGGGCTTCGGGGATTGGTAGACTTGCACGATGCGCCGAAGTAATCCCGCTCTCCGGAATGTAGAATGCAAGCACCTCAAAGACAAGCCAAGAGGCCAATCGAAGGAATCCCCCATCCGGGGGCACCATCCTAGATTTCACAGCCACGTGGGGCTCAGGGCGTGAGTTGTCGCTGCTGCCGCTGTCTAGTACTGCTACAGCTGCTGTTTCTGGTCTTGCGTTGCCACATGGCTAACCGTGGGGGCACTATGCGCTTTAAAGAAGTCTACATGCAGTAGGGCCTTAGGATCAACCACAGATTCCTTTTAATGGTCAACGCTCGCCGATCCAAGTTCTAGAGTGCGGCCCTTACAGCCATAAACCCTGACACCCTCAAAACCTAGAGCCTAACACATAGTCACATACACGCCTAAACCCTAAACCCATCTACACTTGGGAGCTTTAGGGACCAAGATCCAGGGAAGGCGGGAACAGAAATGATTGAAGGGCGTCCTCGGCTTCGAAGTAGGCCACGGCCACTGTGAAGACGAGGAAAAAGAGCCTGGGCGGGTGGCTCTTCGGTGTTGCTCTTGCTGCATGTCGGTGAGTTCTCTGAATTCTCTACACAGTTCTTTGCGTTGGGGGCTCCTGAACTAAAAGGGGCGCAACGGGCTTTCCAGGTTGTGACAATACCGTCAGAACTTACGTCCGGCTCATGGGGTTTCGAGGTCCACTGTAGCTTCCCCAATTCCAAATCCCCTAAACTCCACCCAAAGCATCCTAGAGCCCAGCATTTAAACCACCCGTCCAGCCCTCCACGCACCAAAAGACACAACTCATTGCAGATCCGCGGCTGGCAGAAGGAACCTGACTCAGGCTTCATGATCCTCGGAAGCGAGTTTCGGGTTCAGGGTTTAGGGGCTATGGGTACCACAAAGGTTACGGTCAGGGCCAGAGATTAGGGTTACTCTAGGCCTGTAGGGGGTATCGTGAGAGCGACCATAAGAGTACTCTAGGGATTGCTGTAATAGGGTTGATTCTTTGGGCGGGTTGCTATAAGGGTTTGTGTAGAGGGCCTCCATAAGAGTTCTATAATTAACAAGCATTACGAAAGGGTCGCGTCTGATTAAGAGGTGCTGTGAAGGGGTTAGTTACCATAAGGGTTCCTCAAGAACTGCTACACGAAGGGTTCTTTACCGCGCTGAAAGGTGGGTTGGCCCTGTGGATAATCTGTGTGCGGCCTTGAGCCTAACTGTATGGCTTTCGGACTCGATTTCGGGAATCGTGTGTTCAGGGCTCTAGGGCTTAGGGCCGGAGGGTATTTGCGCAGGCTAGGGGTCAACCCGTCCTGCACATGCAATGTCGTCAAAAAACAAAAACCTAAGCAACCCTCCGCTTGCGGACCCTGCAAACCTTAAAGTTAGAATTGCCCCATTCACGCTATCGAAAAGTGACCCGCGCGGTGCGTCACCGTATGCGGACCGTAGGTCCACCACCCCAGAGCCTGAACCACCAATAAACCGGTGCTTAACCAAATCCAAATGCTTGCCTACTCCCCGTCCCTCTTTCGAGGCATACACAAAAGCATCTTACACATGCTGCAAAGACTCTCTATACTTCTTTATCCCCCCCCAGAAGCCTAACAGTGCCATGCGGCCCCCCGAAGACAAACTCGAACAGGAACTGCAGAAGCAGGTCGGTGTCGTTGGTGATGATGGCATCAGGCGTGTCTATCCGGTAATCCAGATTACCTAAGCGATTGCACGTTCGGGACTTCGGGGCTATGGCACCTGGGGCAATTTAGGATTTAGAGTCTGCAGGTGGCGCACTTGAGGATCTGACGGATACCATGATTCGAAGGCAACCGCCTATTTTGCACGCTTGGCCCTGTACCCGCCATGTTGGCGACGGCTAGATGGTGTGTGAGTGCCCCCACCCCTCAGTCTGCATACAGTGGGATCCCTGCTAGCATGGAAGAAGTCTGCTCCTGGTTCTCCACCGCAGGGCCGTTTTAACAACAATACTTGCGATTGTGATCATTGCTAGTATTTATTATGAACTGTCAAGATTGCAACCATTTCTACTATTACTCCTACTACAACATTCTTTCACACTGCTACTTGCTGTTATTGATGTCTTTCTTATCATGCTCGTTATTCTTGTTAGCATCTTTTGCGGCAATTCGCACATAAATAAGCCTACTTGCTCCTGCAACCCGCTTGTATCAACCTTCTGCCCGGCGACGTTGTACCACACCCAAATATGAGAGCACTGCTGACTGATACCTGAATGCTTCCCTGCATAAACTCTCCCATCGGTACCAAAATCCTCTTGAAATTTCCGAACGACTCCTCTTGCTCAGCCTATCTGAAGCTCGAGCGTTCCTTCGAGCGGCCAATTGTGTAGTAGAGCCGTCCTTCTCGGCTCATGTAGGCTGCATGGTGATGCTCCTTGCCAGGAAGTTGCGGATTTGTGCTCTAGGATTCGTACCTTAGGGGCCTTAATACTTAAAATAGGGTTGGGTTTTGGGCCCCCTTGCAGGCTGCTATATTTGTGTAGGGTGTAGCTCGGGGCTCTCGGTTTGAGCTCGGGGCATGCACTCGGCAGCTTTCGAAGCAAGCGAGGTCTTCGGTCATGAAAGCAGTAAGCCGGCCATAATGTGTGCATTTAATGCTGATTAGAGCTAGAACTCCCCCCTACAAGTATCAGGCAGGACCAAACAGAATATCATGTCACCATAGCAACATCAGAAGCCACAGGACCCTCGAGCTTCATCTGGGCTCTTGCTCTTATCTTTTCTTCTTGGCGCACAGTACTTGCTGATGTAAAGTATGCAGAGTCGGAAAAGCCATCATCCCCCCCCCCACCCGGGATTTAATGAATGCTGGCCCTTCATCAAGTCATGTCTATAGCTGCGGGCACAGTCTTTTGCCCTCCATGTTGCGGTAGAGCATACCGTAGGGTTCTGCCTTGGGGCTCAAGGCTATAACCTACAAACCCTGAACCTAAAACCCTATGAAGCCAGCTTTGAAGCTGAAGCCCAAAACCCCAAACCCTACACCCCTGAACCTCTAACCCTCAACCCTTCTGCCACAGCGGCCGTCAGCGCGCGGCGGAACGCGATCATTGCTCGCATGCCGCTGAAGTTCATCGCCGCCTCCCGCGAGGCTGCACTTGAAACGGCAGAGGGTCGGAATATCTAGTAAGATGCTGCCTTATAGCCCCTACATCATTATTCTGCAGCCTCGTGTAATTAATATATATATATATATATATTATGCATGTACATATATCAAAAATTATATATAGTTGTATTTATATAGGGACTGTGAGGCAGGCGAGCTCTTCAGAGTCTTTGGATAAGAGGGATGTATCTTAATGAGCATGTTTCACTCTGCGCCTGTACACCCTTTATAACTACTGCCGCGTCAGTGGACTATATAATCAGTACTCTACGAACTCTGCTCTACCGTTCCTCAGCTCGGGACCAGATTTCGGCCTTCAATGCAAACTTTTGAAGCAGAAGGTCTACAGCGTAGCTCAAGATTGATGGTAAGGGGAACTTATGTGGCATGGGGAGGTCGTCTGCAAGCCGTGCCATGAAATACAAGTGAAGCCGTTTTCCTTCAGCAGGGCGCTTGTGTTCAAGGGCAGCTGGCTATGCCACCAAATTCCGAATTGTCAGCAAGCCTCGCCCTCTTTGCGGGCTGGTCGGAGTCAACTTCCGCTCCGTCTGATAGCTTGCTTGCGAGCACTTCCAGCACTTTATGATGGCCACGACGTGATGCCACGCCAAACGGGGTGTCGCCACTGTCGCTGGCTTTGTCGGTGTCTGCGCTGACCTTGAATGTTAGAACGTTTTGGCCAAGAAAGTCATTAGCAAATATTAGTACATAATTACCTGTGGGGGCTTTCCTCAGAATTTCGAAGTAGATGCTTCAATAGTTGACATTCGGAGGTCTTTGATTTTGGGGCAATCCCGCCTCGACGAGTAGCTGAACAATTTCGAAGTGGCCCGCCGTGCAAGCTGCGAGCACTGGTGTTGATCCATCGTAACGAGCTTTGTCTTTGTCTGCACCAGCTTCCAGCAGCAAACGCACGACTTCCGCGTGACCCTCCTGACATGCCTTGAAGAGAGGAGCTGCGCCATCGAGGAGCACGGCCTTATCGGTGTCAGCACGGGCCTCCAGCAGAAGTCGAACTACCGCCAGGTGGCGGAACTCGTAATATTCGGAGTAGAGGCGGAACCTTTCCAACCACCAGGCATCGTCTCCACCAGATTGCACCAAGGCGTGGGAGGCATGAGCGAACTGCAAGCCACCTTGCTCACATGCGATGTAGAGGGGGCTTGCACCATTGCAGCAGGCCCTGTCAACATCAGCCTCTGCCTCTAAGAGGCTACGAACGACTTCAAGGTGGCCTTGCTGACATGCGATGAACAAGGGGGTGGCGCCGTTGTCGCGGGCCTTGTCCTTGTCGGCTCCTGCCTGCAGCAACAAATTCACGACCTGCAAGAAGCCATTCTGACAAGCAAGCATCAGGGGCGTCCCGTCACTTGGGCCGGCTTTGTCCTTGTCCGCTTTGGACTCAAGAAGCAAACGAACGCCTTCCGAAGAGCCGATGGAGCAAGCCACTACCAAAGGGGTGGAACCATCGTAGCGTGCCTTGTTGGCATCTGCCTCTGCTTCCAGCAACAGTCGGAGGACTTCCGTGTTTCCATGAAAGGCTGCATTCACAAGAGGCGTCCGATGGCCATCCGTTTGGTCCGGATCTTGGGGCCTTTGCAACAAGTCCTCCACCTTTGGGATTCTGTTGCGTCTGGCTGCTGATTGAAGTTCCATGGCCTGGTCGATGGAAGTTTCCGCAAAGTCCAGAAGCACGAGTTGCAGCTCAACCGCTCCATCCAGACAGGTGCTTTCTGCCAAAACGGTACCGTCCTGGAGCAGGAGCCTCTGTCTGAATCTCGGCAACCCACACCGACTCGAGAGTTTGCGCTTCAGAGCCCTCACGGACGCATCCTCCCAGCCTTTCAGTTCATCAGCAGGAAAAGCGGCGATCTCGTGTCCCGAAACCAAGCGGACCCGAAGCATCTCAAGAAAGCTCTATGGTCCTACGGTAACGAGTCGACGAGGCAGGGAGTCATCTAGTTGGCCACAGCTTTCGATCCAAATGCTGCATAGGCACGAAGTTCAACCGAGCTGCTGATGAGAGCCTCCGTCAGCTCATCAGACCCCAACATGCCGAGTGATTTCACCCCTGCTGCAGGCTGCAGGAAGCCCCTGCAGAAGCGGTCTCCGAACGGAACCCGGCCAGCAAGGCACGTCACGAAGTCAAGGACGCCAAACCTAAAGCCTTTGGCCCCATATACACTACGTAGCCTTGCTTTTCTCAACACTCACACGTGCCCTAATACTCGCTGAATGAGGAGGCCTTCACGATCGCGATGGCAGCATTGTAACCGAGCATGATGGCCACGAAAGCCCTAAATGCCGCGGGTAGGTCTGCTTTGACCTGGGAAGAGGGCGAGGCGACAGAGTCAGAGGGGGACAGCCGCCTTTGCTATTTGTCCTGTCGCACACTTGTACTTTTAATACAGACATTACCATGTAAAAGAAGTACATAATACAGTGTTATAACATCTGAGTGATATACAACATGATGGAGACAAATACATACAACCAGAACACTAGACAAACAACCAACAAATAAATAAACAAGGACACAATGAGCTAAAACAATATAGTACAGTATAACAACAGAACAATGTGACATCTGACCTCGAAGGTCTCTTGGTGAGCGTAGGACTGATGGCAATTCTCTCTAGGGTCCTACATTTGCAGTGGCACGGCTACTCCGTACGAGCCTGAGACCCGGCATGTGCATGCTAATATAGCGGCAACAGTCATCAGAATAGGGTTACGGTGTATATAAAAGTAGAAGTACGATACGCAACCCTAAGGAATAGTAGTGGTCATCGCTCACGCTTCCATACTACCTCCTTCTACCACTGCTGCTGCTTCTCGTCCTCCTCCTGCTACTTCGATCACTAGAAACACCATAATAACACCCTGAACCCTATCAGCGGCTTAAACCTTTGTCTGAGGGCTGCTCATGGCTTCTCATGATCCGCGCGGAATTCTGGCAGATTCTGCACAGGGGCTCGGGGCCCGGACCATCGTCCAAAGCGGGCGAACAAGGACACTGGGAACCTGACAGTGAAGTGAGGCTGCGGGTTTGGGGTCGGGGGCTCATAGGCCTGAGAGGCTCTCAACCCTAAACCCGGCCCGGACCTGGGCCTCAGGGCCCGGAATCCCCAAACCTGACGGCTCTCCGATCCGAGTACCAGGCTAAGCAAGAGAGCAGTCCGTACAACCTCGGCTGAAGGATTTTAGGGCCTTGTTCTTTAGTTGGGTGTGAAGATTGTGAATACGAGTGCCGGCAGCTTGGATTCGGATTGTGTTGGCATGGCGTGGTTGTAGACGCCGTCCACATGTTTGGGGCTTGACTCCGGGTTTGTCTGAGTCTCCACGTTTTGGCTACGGGACATGAGCTTCTGTTCTTCGCCATTTTTGGGCCACCGACTTTGTTAACTCTTTGAGCCCAAAGCTGTCAAGCCCGTAGTAGCCAAGGAGCAAAGAAAGCAGGACGGCTGAGCATAGCCAAAAAGCTTGCCTTGGATTCGGATGGAGCTTTGATGCGGCAGAATCCCGGTTCTCTGTCTCTCTCGCCCGCTCTCTCTCTGGCACTCGCTCTACATGTATACACATACATATAAGCATACACAAAGTTAACAAACTTTAACACACATACAATAACACCTAAATGATTGAATGGTTGAATATGAGTATATGTCTATCTATCTATCTATCCATCTATCTACATATCTATCCTAGAAGAGCAGGGGATCTGGATCGGCCGCCTCGGAGCTGTCTTGGATGATGGAGGAGCTAATCTAGGGGCCTTAATAATTTGAATAGGGCTTCGGGGCCCAATATACCATGATCGTTCTAAGGAACCCCTAACATAGTATTCGTCTTAGGGAGCGATTGCGGCTGAGCCGTTTGCTCGAACCGCTGTGGGTAACTAAATTGTTAGGTTCAGCCTCGCGGCTCCGTCCATATCGAGGGCACGCATATACGAACCAAACGGACCAGCTGGACGACTGTCGAAGTCACCTGGCAAAGAAGTTCGCCCAGTCACTCAGCTGTCTTGATACAAGCAGAACCACATTTGCACGTCTAGAAAAAGCAATGCCCATTAGCCTTATCATAGCCTGGCCACTTAAGGTGACCACCCCAAGTACGACTCTGAACTAGAGGTCCGGATTTCCAAGCTCTACGACAACATGCGTGCCGTCGAGAACGCAAGGATGGATATAACAAAAGGCCCACAAGGCCCAGTAAGCCAGTCATCCATAAACTAAGGGGGTGGGGGGGGTATCCCTTTTGTGATGGCTGAATCTTGAGATCCCAAGTATATTCCTTAATTGAGGAGTATTTGGGCTCTCTGGGCTTCACGGGCTGAAGCACTCCAGGAGCACCATGCTTAAAAGGCCTTTGGAGCGGCTTCGGAGTGCGCGGCATAGGGTGAAATGACCTGTGGGGGCTGGGAGGGTTGAGGGCTTTAGGGGTTTAGGGTTGAGGGGTTTAGGGGTCTAGGGTTTGGGTGTTTTAGGAGTTGGGTTGCTCAGTGTCAAGAAGATTAGCCCATGTCAGCGTCGATCGAATCGATGAGCAGCCACATTCGCCAGCACCATCTGCGATGCTCTTGCCAGTCACCGGGGTCAACAAGATCAGCACCACGACCATCATCATCATCAGTACCAATATCAATACAATAAACCACCAGCAGCAGTCGTCCTTCGCCACCAAGAAAGCCAGACGACAAACACCACCAACGGCATCATCATCGCTACGGTTACCACCACATCGGCATCACAATCGCAAGCGCCGTTTCCATTGCTGTACGCCGTAATCAGCATAGCAACCATCATGCTCTTCGCCGCCATCGCCACGACCATCATCATCATCATCATCATCATCAACATCATCGTCAGCAGCATCGTCATCACCATTGCCCCACAATTATAATCATCGTCACCGTCAACATCATCCTCTTCTTCACCAGCATCATCACCAGCAGCAACAAAAGCGCCACCTTCTCCTTGTCAAGTATCATCATCACAATCGCGATCTTTACTCCCCCCCCCCCCCCCCCACCACCAGCAGCATCATCGTCATCAAACCCGCTCCCTAAGCCTCAAACCCAGCAGCCGGAACCCTGGGCTGCGAGGCTGACCTGGTGCCGCAACAAGCGCGGACCCTGCACGTTTTCTGGGGTCCCTGGCGAGTGCGCCCGTCTTCTTGGACTCTTTCAAGGAGGATCGGATCTTGTGAGCTTCGCGGCACCTGAGTGGCATAACTGTCGAGGGCTTGAGGTTTCACGCCTATGTATGTCAACTGCACAGACGGGGTCGATCGACAGACAGAGTCATCGAGATACAGAAAGAGATACAGAAAGAGAGAGAGAGAGAGAGAGAGAGAGAGCTGAGGGTTGAGGGTTGAGGGCGGTGAGCTGAACACTGGGTTTCATGCTTTCGGAGCTTTTGCTTCTTGGAAAGATTGGGTCTGGAGAGCCTAGATATGTGCTCACGGAGCTTGAGTCTGGACCTGCTTCTTGGCGGAGCAGGGCCGCCTGGAGGCCCAATTCTCTCAATGTGGCGGCCAATCCTGTAGGGGCCTTAATCGTTAGAATAGGGATTTGGGGGTTCCTTGTTGTAATTATACAACGTAATAAACTCAATGGACCCCCAAGCCGCTTTTTTAATCATAATGCCTTATTCATTATGTCCCCGCACCGACGTCACAAGAAGACCCGGGGATCACAGGGCCCCGGCAATACCACGGCCACGACGAGAAGTATAACCATCGGGGCAATCGAAACCGTGCCCGCCAAGGTTAGCATCATGTGCTTCCTCAGAGTCTTTGGGGGCCGTTGGGGTTGATGCTCTGCTCATTACTACATCCCTCTGTGGCTCCCATCTGCAACCGAGACTGCATTGATTCCACGCGCAGTGGCACAGTAAGGAATCCTTTAATTTAGAGGGTGCAACTCCAGTTACACGTACCTGAAGTCTACAGTAGAGTAGCAACTCCCAAAATCACCAAAGGATCCGAGAAAAGGCTGCCTTTCCCTGCATGCCCAACACACCTGCTAGAAGTCCCTTAAGCTCTCAGACTGGAACCAAAAGTAACAAAAGCACATTATGGTTAATGAACCGGCTCTGCTATCCACTGAAATGAAACTGAACATGATTCTTAAGGAACAGCCTTGAAGTACCTCATTTCGCCGCTCCTGAAAAACCTGAACCCTGAACCCAAAACCCAATCACCCCGAAACCCTGACACATCCGACAAAAAAGGCCGAGCATCCATGGTACCTTCTCGAGGGATTGCCAGAGAATGGCAAGACCCTGTTTGTGGGTAACCTCCTGCCCAGGGTTTTGGGGATCAGAAACTAAATGCACCCAGCCCAAGCCCATGATGGAAAGCCATGCTTGCACAAGGGCCAGCTACAAAGAACTGCGGAATCACGAACCCAAGCCGCGACGGCGGAACTGCGGAATCACGAACCCAAAACAACACGGGTTCCTTCTCATGATCTCCTTGCAGTCCGGAACAATGGTAGCTTTCGGGGGTAACTCGAAACCCAAAGCCGTAAACTGTAAACCCTAAACCCGAAACTCTAAACCCCAAATCCCGAGACTCCTAAACCTCAAACGGTCAGCGGCCAAAGAAAGGAACGACGGCCTCGGTCACTGAAATAGCGGCATCCTCGGCTAGCTGCCTCCAGGCAACTCCGCAGAAGGGGGACTCTGTAATTCGACTCGACTTCCTCTATAACTTAAGGCTTTCTTGAGAGTGAGAACCCTATGAACTCAAGGGGCTTGAAGGGGTAAGACTCCGATGGCGCAAGGGCTTTCGCAATGGTTCTACTAGGCTGCCAGAATCTAAAAGGTTCGAATGCAGGTGCCTAGACAGTTACTTTGGGGCTTTCGGTATGGAGAAGTATATGGCTACAGAAGGTTAAGAAGAGGATACGGAGATTGAATTCTGAGTCATCAAACCCCTATGTACTATTACTTTAGTGACTCTACTCGGGCTGGTGATCTCGCCAGGGCCAAGGCAATATCCTGGACATCGGAAGCCTAAGCCTTCCTCAATCCTGCTTCGAAGTTCAGCCCATCCTAGACTTAGATGCCTGAAATCCTGGCAACTACCAGTAGCAAGGTGTGCACTCCGGTGGCACTAAAGCCTACCGAGACCTAGTAGTTATAATATCGCCTCGCCAACGACTCATCCTGCGCCACATTGCCGACCTCAGCGGTATGGAATGACAGACAGCTACGCTAGTCTCAGGACTTCAGGCTGTATATCACAATGCAGCACGGTCATGGTTCTAGCACCCGAACATGCGCTACAGAGAAGCAAACCGTAACTACGAGTCGGCCGGCATGATCCGATGCATATCCGTCGAGCAGTCAATGGAGATCTTCAGTGGAATCTATCCGTAGCTGTAGCTCAATCACCCCGGATCTTTCGGTATGACTTGGCTCTGTAAGGACGCGGTGACAGGAGACATCCGAGATTCCTCACAAAGGGTTGCAAAAAGTTGGATGAGCTTGGATCCATGTGCGAATGCTGAACCAACACCCCGTCCCCAACGCCTTTAATCCAAGCACCGGTCGCAATGTGTCCGCACAAAACGGATCGCTTACTGCAACCTGACACAGCCCTCGCTGGCTGGGTCCCCTGGCCACGAAGGCTATCGACAGCAGGGTCAAAAGCCTTCCCGCCATCTGCGCCAGGAGCCCATGACCGATTTCCGCACGCCAGGCGGGCGCAGTCGGGTTCAGGGTTAGGGGTGGACTCAGGATGGGTGTGCGGGGTGCATCTGCTCTGGTCTCTGGGTCTGGGGTGAACTGGGTATAGGCGGCGGAACCGGGAGGGTTAGGGTTCGAAACTGTGACAAGTCTTTTAACTCGAGGCATATATATCTAGCACGTTACGAGCATGTTTTACTTTTGCGACACGTCAGTTGTTCGTACTGTTGTTCTATTTAGGCTAGCAGCGAGTGTGCAAGTGTGCTGGTGGGCTACTACTGTAAGCTACGTGAAGTGCATGCATGCCGACACTATCCGGGTTAGACGAGCTCTGCGTGTTGAATGCCCGCTGTCGAGCAGAAGGAACGCCACCTCTCACTTGAGCCCAACAGCGCGAGAGTTGGTATCATATACAAATAGCATCCCTCACGTGGACGATTCAGAATGGCCTGGGAAACGAGCGCTCGCTTTTCGTCGCCCTCGCCACGTCGGTCTATGCTCCATCCGATGGTTCGGCACTGCCAATGCAGCATATCGCCTGGTCTCTGGAACTAAACTCGATATCCGACTCTGGGGCCCTGTGCCGAGCCATCGCAGAGCCCCTGGGTCTCTCAAGGCCGTTCCGCCTGGACCGATGCGGTGAGCAAAAGGCTTCAGAATGCAGGCGGTATGCCATATTATCGTAACATAGCCAACCGCCCCCAAAAAGAAGTTGCGGATGTTCAAGGCTTCGACATGTTTAGAGAGTTCATGTATCTGTTGCTTCGAGTTTAGGGTGCGCCGAGTGTGGGATATGTGGGATGTAGAGTTTTTGGAGCTTGGGGCCTCGGCATTTCCGGTTTCGGTGCTGCGATTCCTTGGAACGGAAATAGCCAGGGTACTAGAGGCTTTGGTGGTCTTGCCCCGCGGTCACTGCAAAACACGGTACATATGTTTGCATGCATGCACGCACGTATGATGTATGCACGAATGCACGTATCCATGCGTGTAGGAGTGTGAATATGCAGGTAGGTGTAGGTATGCAGGCAAACACCAATATACCCCACTGAACACTCGATCTATCTGCAGACTGCTCACAAATCACGTTACCTTTCTGTTAAACTAGCCACTTCGCTTGTGCCCCTGGAGCTCTAAGGGCCCAGCACGTAACTCGGGATAGATGTTGTCGATATACCAATCCTCATTCTTCGAGCAATGCTTGAGGCCATGGGCTTAAAATCGGATGTTGGCGCGCTCCAAAAACATTCTATGACATGCACAACTGATCAGCTTTCTCCTCTGTTTCGAGCATGTTTACTGGAACTGGATGTCAGGAAGAGTTGAACCTACAGGAATCGCGGGCTGAGGCAGATTTAGGCCGGCCTCCTCTTTTTGCATCTGTTCGGTTAGAATCTGGTTAGAGCGACATGCTATGTAGCTGGCTCCTAAACTTCGCGCTACCGGTAGGAGCCCAATCGAAAAAACAAATAAACATGTTTGTTCATAGAGAGGACTTATGGATGGATAGATCGACAGATACAATCAAATAAACAAACAAACGTGAATAATGCACTATGTCTACACTCGCAATTTCAAACGTCAGCAGGCTATGTGGCGCTTTACGTTCACCGCGTAGGAGATTCAGGAAAGATGACAGGCCTGTCGGTTATATGTATACATCACTAATGTGTTTATCGGAAGCAGGGCTTATACTCTGCTGATGGCTATTGAGATTTGAAGAAGGTTGCACTGGCTTTGCGAGTCACTGACAATTCGGGTGCGATGCTGCAAAGAGGGTAGGGTTCGGGTTCGGTCCGATTTTGCTGGTCTTGAGGTGCCGACCATTGAGTGGCAGTGCAGCGACTCCTGCGCAGCTGCGAGCAGCGAAAGAACGACAACAGCACTGGTTGATGAGGTTTCATTCGTCAAGTCACCACCTAGCAGCAACAGCATACTAGCCCGCCCTCCCGTCCCAGGAGGCAGGCAGGGCAAGGCACGTCGCGGTTGTTCGGGAATTGTCAGATGTGCAGATTCTATGATAGTATTATACTGTATTACTATTAGTATGATAGTTTTATAAGCCAGTCCACAGCTCCGCGTTCATGCCACTGAAGGGTTTTTCGGTGTGGAACCCCCGAAGGAAAGCCAATCATACAGTGCGAAACACAATCTAGCGTTGGGCTTCCCTCGAACATCAGTCATCACCAACTTGGCTCTACAAAAGCAACAAAACGGGTCCTGTTTTGAGAACCCTCCGACATGAGGCATGGTGCGGAAGCCTAAACCCGGAATCCCCGCCCTCCCGTTGCCAAGCCTTTTAAGAGGTCGGAAAATAAGGTCTCTTAGATGCGAAGTGCTACCATATACCATAGACGCAGATCCCAGCAGCACTCCTTGACGCGAAGGCGCTCCGAAACATCGCCAGCCTGCATAGCTTCACCGCTCTCGCGGATACAATTGAAACGGCCGCCCAGTGTTAAGGATACGTGAGGCCTGAACTGTCTGTGAAAGGGTTGGGGCACCACGCCTGCGGCCGCCGTCATGCACAACACGGGGACAAGCCTACTGTATGATATACCAAAGGTTATATAGTGGTTGGACGTAGGTTCAGCTAGTAATGCAGAAGGAGATGGTCTTCTGCAAGGCTAAAATGAAACATGCGGCAGAACGGCACAGCCAAGCTGCAAATTTTGTGTCACCTTTCAGTTCTAAATCGAAATTCCAATTCATACTAGCTTCCATTTACACTTATCAGGAAACTTCAAACCTGAAGATTGAATCGAACACCTAATTGTTCATGACAATCGTGCTGCTGGTCCAGCAGGTTCTCAGGAAAAGTTTATTTGACCTGACTTGACTTACAAACCTTAAACCCTCAAGCACTATCACACTGGCCCGGCCTGAATTCTGCGAGCGTAGGGCACCTTCTTGTAGTAGTCCTCACACCGGGTGTGCACAAGACTTCCTCGTCAGAATCAGCTCTCTCTCTCAGCGAGGTAGCCTGCTTTCGAGCAAGTATTCCGACGCAATTGCATCTCCATCTTGCCGAGAAGAAATCAAGCCTGCTCGCTCAAGCCGTGTCCTCCAGATACTCATCCAGCCACACCAAAGCTGCGCGCTTGGTGTTCTTCATGACCTGGACAGCTCTCGCAGATCTGTCCCAAAGATGACCAGCGCAGGCTGTGTGCCATCACTCAACCCAGCTGCAGAGAAGTTTTCGCGGCGGGCCTCGGGCACGTGGACGACGTACGGGTTTTTAGCCTCAGCGGACAAACCCAGGGATCGCATATACCATCCCCTAGGGCTCAGGTTGCCTGAATGTTAAGTTATGGGGTTACATCTTACATGGACAGCAACCTAGTATCCACAGTAGGGATCACTGATGCCAGCCCTGTCGTTCAGATCCCTATAGTAAGCCAATTCAGAGCCGAGGCTGGCATGCGTCTAGGCCAGGACACTGTGGGCCCTGACCCTGGGGACCGCAGCTTACCCTGAGCGTTCAACGAACCCTCTAGGAATAAGGTTTGTGGGGTTCTGGGTTTGCAGTGTCTGGGACTCTAAGATTTAAGGAGGTCTTCGGATCACCTCTTGCGGCCTGCTCAGGAAGGTCTCGACGGAAGGGTCCCGTGATACAGATCCCAATGTAGCAACCACCAGGAGATCATCTGGAGCTTTCGACGCGAAACCCTGAAACCAGCCTGCACCGTGAGACCCAGCTCTCAACCCTGAACCCGCAACGCTAAAGCCAGAACCCGTCGGAAAATCCTCCGTGCCGGGCTCCCGGCGCGAAAGACATGGCCCATCCCTGGCATGCTGAGTGCAAAAAATCATGGAAACCCCGAAAGCCACTAGTTTCCCTATAAGCCCTGATCCCCCCTTGCTCCAACCCTTGCACTTGGAACCGAAGCCTAAAAACCCTAAGCTTCAAACCCAAACCCTCAACAGCATCCGTCTTCAAGTCTTCAAACTCGAAGCTGAAACAGCAAACCACTTCACTGCAATTCAACCTTGAACCCTATACAGTTCTTCGGCCCCCACCCCCCATTGGAGAAGGAAACCTAAAAACTGGAGGGCTCCGACTTCTGGGCTGAGGAAGGCAAGGCAAAGGGACCTCGACACGCGAACTCTGCAACCAAACAAGCTCGGGCCGCTCCAGAACGAAGTTTCCCTACCCCGGCCCAATAGAACACGTGCCAGGGAGGCGAGAGCAGGGCACAATCTCGATGCGGCCGCCGCAGCGCCAAGCCCGCAGGGACATCTGTGGATCAACGGAGCATCACGTACGAGGGTGTGTTTGTCAATGCCCTCTTTTGGTTCAGGGATGGGGATACCTTGCAGTTCCAGAACAAAGGCAGGATGACCACCGTATCACGTATGAGGGTGTGATGTTCAGAGTCTTGGCGGCTTGTGGTTTCGGGTTCAATGCGGGTTGGAGGGCATCGGCCTTGAGGGAGTCTTGTTCTCGAGTTTGCGAGTGCGCTGTTGCCTACACCCTAGCCTCAACCCTAAACTTACACCTTTTCAAACCCTAAACCATGTACGAGTACCCTTCTGGGAAGCCTCGATGTGCTCGCCGCCCCACTCAGTCATGTTGGTGTCGTAGGTTCCCATGTGCTCCCAATTGTCCTTCCTGGTGCCGTCGGATTCGCCGGATTGGGGGGCTAAGGATGGCTAAGGGCTTACCTAAACCCCCCCCCAAAGTAGGCAAAATAAAGGCCCCCAATTCCCCTAAAAGGCTATTATTCTACATCCTTTTGGGGTCCAGGTAGGGAATAAGGTTTCAGCGGTTTGGGGTTCAAGGATCTGTAAGCAAAAGGCTGCATCCCTGCTCTAAGAGGAGCGCCCCTAAGCTGAAGCTCGGAGGCCAGGGCATTGCTTAAGAGCCCTGAACTTCACGTCTGCCGAAGGGGCTTAAGGGAGACAGGCCCTGCAGTTGCCGAGCTTGGAAAAGACTTCAGTGGTTATAATTATAGACATTCATAGATTGTAGGTTTACA